AGCCATCGCAGAAATGGGTGCCCCAGGGCAGTGTTTTCGGAGGGTGTCGTGGGGTGGTCGTGACGGGAGGTAGATCGGGGGAGCCCAGGCGACGATTGTCGCAAGACGCCCAGAGTGTGGGGAAGCGTTTGTGTGTCTTGCGGGAAAAGTTGCGAGAATAAGATGGATGATCGGAGTACGAAGCAGTGCTTCTAATGGGGCGTTGTCGTGACGGTGAGGTGTGGGGGAAACACAGGTCTCAATCTCTGCGCACAATGCTATGACGAGGCGAGGCAGGAAGAAGAGCACGACAAGTGGACGATGCACGGAAAGAGAGACAGACACTGACCGCGAGGCTGCAAGCTCAAAGCCTATCCAGGCTGTCTCATGAGCGCATGTCCCGCTGTACAGCCAATCAGAGGCGCGCCCCTCATTGGCGCACCCAAAGCACTTTAGGAGATAACGCCAGTCCCGATACGGGGCCTTTCAGCTGGCAGTGTCCCACAGCGGCCCGCTGGACACATCGATAACCAGGCCCTCACTGTAAAGCTCCCTCTGCGCGGTCAGGTACGCCTGCTTGGTCTGCAAGGAGTAGAGTTCCACTTCAATGGGGTTAGCGCCGGGCTTAGCTAGGCGTGGGTAGTAGGACCTGTGATGGCTGTCCAAGTGGGCTGTCGCATTCACTGCATCAGACCCCCAGGCGACCAACACTCGTCAGCGTCTTTGGAGGACCTCTCGTTCTAAGGGACAAATACGAATAAAGCAGCAGCTTCGATTGCGCTGCCATCTGGCTTTCGGATTGTGTAGGGCATCCTAGTCTGAACTGTATGTGTACCCAAGGTCTTGAACCGACTTCTCGTTCGTTTCTGTCCTAACCCAATACTCTCAGATTGATAGATACGATTCGTGTCATTACCTTGCCGACCGACAAATCCAAACTTTCGGTATCCTTTACAAACCTGTTTTGTTGCCAGCATGGACGGCTATCCAGCTGGGAGCCTGGACCACAACCTCCCATTCCTCGTCGTTGCCGGATTGACCGAGGCTCCAGCAAATGCGCTACCCTTTGACAACGAGCTGAAAGACCAGGGAGTTCTGTTACAGTCGCAGCTGCCCTCTCTAGAAACGAAGGAGGCCGAGGCGCTGAGGGAATACATTGCCGGCCAGGATGCAGGGGACCAGCCATGGAATCCTCAGCTTGCTACCAAGCCCTACAAGTTCAGGGTTGCATTCACAGGCAGGGTAGCTCAACCCATCATATACCTCTGGTCTTGTATTGTCGCCGGTTCTGACGCTGTGTAGTCTTTTGTGCTGCCTCCTCGCCGAGCCCGGCTGCCCGATGGTATCGAAACACCCGAGTTCCCCCCGGTTTTACACTCGCCATTTTCGCCGCTGAGCCCCATCTCCCCTCTATACCCCGATGGGTTGATCGATGCGCAATGGATTCAGAAGCATCAGCAGATGGTGCCCAGTGTGTATCTGTGCTTCTACACGCTCACATCCGACACATCTATGGCTACCCTGAACGATAACCAATTGAAGAAGGATATCAACATACTGAGGCTAGCGCTGACCCAGTCAGGCTACAAGACTCGCCTGGTTGTTGCTCTGCTGAGTGACGACTCTGAGTCGCCCCCGTCCTTGTCTGAAGATATTCAAGAAAGGCTAGAAAACATTCGGAGAGGTGTGGCGATGGATCCGAAGTCGTTCTTCTACATCCCGACCCAGGACTCTTTCACAGAGTTAGAGCAGACCACCGACAGTATCCTGTCGACCATTTACTCCCACTCGATCGAGTACTACCGCGATCTTGGACGCCATGCTAGGAAGAAGCGCACCCGCGGCGTGACCCCTCAGCCCACAGTACCCCCGACGAGTGGCACATCGCAGACGTTGACACTGCAGGACTGCAACGTTCGCTACGACTTCAAGGCCGGTGTCTTTGCCGAATTTCGTCAGGAGATGGATTCGGCGTTGAGATCATATGATCAGGCATACGAGGGGGTTTTGAGCGAGGATGTTATGGACATGATCCCAAGTTGGAGCCCACGGTGGAATGAAGCACGCCTTCTCACCGATGTCATCACGATTCGAGCAATTCGATGCTCCTTATGGAATGGACAGACGACTTCGGCCGTACGGAGATGGCGTGCCCACCGTGATCGCATTGCAGACTTTGTCGACCGGCGCGGGCGCGGCACAAATAACTACGGTTGGGAAGCGTGGGAGTCGAGATGGGCACTTGTCATGGTGAATCTGATCGACAAGGCGGAACTGGCGCAGCTGGCGCCACCCACACTGTCCCTGTACATTCAGCCAGAAAAGGTTGTCATGGGCGAGCGACTTCAACCATGGGAGATGCTCCACCACACAGGCTACTGGTATCGAGATGCAGCTCGTCACTTGCATTCTCGTCGTGCGTTGGCCCATGCGATATCCGAGGAGCATCGTCGAATCCCGGACTCAAAGCCTGAAGGTGCGAATGCGACCAATAACGCGTACAGTTATGATACGTATCTCTGCCCTGCACCGTATGAGGAGTCGCCTCTTGATGGCCAAGGCACGAACCATGCGCAACTAATCATAGACTGTCTGATGGCCGCAAGAGCTGAGTTCCAGGTCCGCAGGCAGCATCGCGTGTCGGCGGAGCTGTCACTTGATTGTGCCAGAGAGATGGCCCGCTTGAAAGCCTGGGACGACGTCGTCGCATTGTTAAGGCCTCTCTGGGTGGACATGTCATTCCGAAGCGAGGGATGGTTGGATATTGCTGAAGACCTCAGCTGGCTATTGAGGGCTGCTGCTGCCAAGGTTGGGCTCGGGGACCTTGTTGTCTCCATTGACTGGGAGCTCTTGAACAAAAGTGAGTTCACCTGCCCGTTCACAACCCGATATGCATATCTGACTGGCTGTAGACTTCACGCGGCGGCCAAACTGGCCATACGACATGGCGAAGTCTCTCGATGGTGTCAACGTCAAGTCGAAGCCGATTGTGTCTTTAAGCGATGACAATATGACGTCTTTCGTCTCAGCATCATTCGTTTTCAAAACCGAAGAGGGCAAAGCTGGCGAAACGTGTCAAGCACAGCTTGCCGTCACGTCAACTGCTTTCCCAGACTCTGCACCAATAGTTTTGAAGCAACTGCGAGTAAATTTCGCGGGAAGCTTGCAAACGATCACCCTCGATCATTCTATCGAGGAGAAGACGAAGGGCACGATGAAGAAGCACAACGCGTCGCTAGCCGCCATAGCTCTTGTAGAGACGACAGGTCCAGAATCAGAAGACGTGGAAGAGGCCGAGCGGGGCTCCGTCCTCAATGGTCAAGCTGATCTGGAGATCAAGCCAGGCTGCACGTCAGTGTATGAGATGGCGATACCGCTGCGCGAATCCGGCGAGGCGCGCGCTGCATCTGTCGTACTGAACTTCGATACGGATGCGTTCACCCTCGATTACACCATTGGTTTCCAGGCGGCGAATGTGGCCGATGTCTGGTTTGGTCCCTCGCTATCAAAGAGACGCATACCGCGTTTGAGCTCACATGCCATCCATGTGCAGCCTAAGCCACCCAAGATGGAAATCCGGCGAAGCGCCATCCTCCAGCAATACTATGCCAACGAATCGATTGAGCTACCACTCGATATTTTTAACGCCGAAGATACAGATGCAACGGCCAAGCTAGAGCTCCATGTGTTTGGCGAGCACATACCTGCCCTTCGCGTGCAAGTCGACGGACTGGAAGAACAAAGCGTGAAGGCTGCCAAGGAAGAGTCGAGATTTCAGGGCCTTGTTCTCGGTAGCATCGATGCCTCGCAGTCGAAGCGAGCTGTGCTGCACCTCAGCCCCTCTGATGCGCCGACTTCGTATGACATCACTGCCAGGGTTGGCTATCACCTAGCCACAGATCCTGCAACACCAATCATACAGGTCATGACGTTCCAGGTCACCATTGTCAGCCCCTTTGAGGCAAACTACGACATAGTGCCCCGCCTTCACCCGGAGCCATGGCCGAGTCTCTTCGATTTCGAGGGCACCCCGGAAACAGTGGACCGTGAAGAGTTGATAGCTCATCCACGCGGACTAGCACAGCGATGGTCGCTCGTCTGTCATTACGCGTCATTCGCGACTGAGGACCTCCAAGTGGTCGAAATGGAAGCCAAAGTACTGTCGTGCCTCCCAGGGGCACGTGGTCATGCAGCTGGGCGGCCTGACCTTTCCCCAGCTGGGCTGATCATACCTCCCAAGTCGATGCAAGAAGTCAAATTTGACCTCATCGTTCAGAAATTGAGTCTCGACGACCGCGGCCCAGCCTCGCTCGATGTGGCCTTTGTCCTCCACTGGCGCCGGGGCACGGCCGACCCGAGCAGCCCCGTCAACACGACGACCATGTTGGTGCCGCGCTCCATTGTCCTCGGCACCGAACCCCGCGTACTGGCGTCCGTGTCCTACGTGAACGCTTCCACAGGACTCATGCACCTGGACGTGACGATCGAGAATGCATCCAGCCACTTCCTCACGTTTGGGCTGAGCCTTGAGCCGAGCGAAGAGTTTGCCTTTTCAGGGGCGAAACAGACGACGCTGCACGTGTTGCCAGTGAGCAGGCGAGCTGTTACGTACAGACTGCTGCCGCTGGTGAGGGGTACCTATGTACGGCCCAACCTGGCCGTCAGGGACAAGTACTTCCAGAAAGTGCTGCGGATCATCCCGACGGAGGGGATGAAGATTGACAAGGAGGGTTTGCTGCTGTGGGTGCCGCCGGCGGAGGGTCAACTAGAGGAGGAGGGGGAGGAGGAGGATGAAGAAGACGAGGAAGACGAAGCATAGAATATGAACAATGTCAACTGTATGTAATGATGATATTCAAAAAAACATGTGTGATCTTGTTCTCTTGGCCTTGTAACCAGTAGCCACAATCATGCCGCGCCCCCTACCCATCCTTCAATTTCTACAGCTGCCTCATGGGATGTACACAAAACTCCTGCACGCATAGAACGAGGCTATTCATCACGTCATCTACAGCACACTTTCAGATCTTGGCCTCCGTCTTGGTCTTGCCCGGCTTGGGCGGGCGCACGAGGCGCTTCTTCCACTCGTCCGACAGCTGTGTCTTCTCCTCGACGGTCTTCCTCGTCCAGGCCTCGTAGTCGGCCTGCTCCCGGCGCCAGCGCACCATCTCGCGACCGATCCAACCCGCGGCGTGGGCGGCGCACACGCCGGGCACCTCCATGGGCACGAGGTGTCCGTTGTCGGGCAGGGTGACGGCCTCCACGCGGCCGTCGCGGGCGCCGCCGCTGCCGCCGCCGCCGGTGCCGGTGAGGCGCATCTTCTCGTCGCGCAGCTCAGGCAGCGAGAGGTCGCTCGTGCCGCCGAAGAGGTAGAGGCAGCCGGGCCGCAGGTTGGGCAGGCGCACGAGCGTGTTGGCGCCCTCGGCGCGGTAGACGGGGTAGGTGACGAAGCCCTTGTTGAGGGCCGGGTCGAGGTCGGGGACGAGGTCGGGGCGCACGAGCGTCGTGCCGTCGGCGGCGTAGGCGTCCCAGCTCGGGCGGAAGTAGGTGAAGACCTCCTGGTGGCGGGTCGTCGCGAGGGTGACGTGGCCGGGCTCGGGGTAGAGCGGCGTCGGCGTGTCGCGTAGGCCGTGGGCAAGCCAGGCCTCGAGCACGCGCGGGTCCCAGGCGCGGTAGAAGGGGGACTTGGCGAAGGCGGCGCGGGCGGCGTCGCGCGAGGGCCAGAGGTCGCGCCGGCCGATGGACATGGCGGCCGGCGAGCGGGAGACGTCGCTTGTGGCGTTGGAGGACCAGCGCGAGATGACGGGGTCGAGGAGGATGACGGTCGAGAGCAGGCGCGGGTGCAGCAGGGCCAGGTTGGCAATGGCGTTGCCGCCAAAGGAGTGGCCGACGCCGACGAGAGGCTGCGGAGGACGCAGCGTGTTGACTATGTGCAGCATGTCGCGGGGATAGTCCAGCCAGCCCGGGTCGTTGCCGAGCAGGTGCTCGTTCAGAGGCGCCGAGGCGTTCTGCCAGGCGGCGTCCACGGCGATGATCTGGCGGATACGGAAGGGGGGGTTGGCCTTGGCCGCCTCTGCATGAAGATCGGCCCACATGGCCTCATAGAGCTCCTTGGGAAAGCCGTTGGCGTGGGCTGCGATTAGGGTCACATCACCAGGCTGCGGAGAGGTGTTGTCTTTTGGTGTGTAGATCTTGACGGCCAGACGAAGGGTCGACTCCTGGGAGGTGCTCAGAGCGTGAGGGAATTCGCGAATGTAGGCACCGGGCAGTATCTGCTCGGTGGTAGTAAAGGGGAACGACATGGTGGGAGATGGCGAATGAGGCGAGAATAGGTAGCTTGATGATAATACACAACCCGGCGCCTCAAGTTTGGGGCCTGGGCAGTAGCTTCCTGACACAGGGGAGCGCGGGATATTATGAGATCAAATGGAATTGACCAACAATGAGAGACAGAGCACGAGCAGATGTAAAAGGCCAATGCAAATGCTTTGCAGTGGTGTTGAAGAAGCGACGACGACGGCCGGTAGAAGTGAGGGTGAACCCATAGATGCCGAGGTTCGCTGCCGAACGACGCCGAACTTGAACGGTGAGCTTCGGTGTGCCGCCCTTGGCATCCGGGGAATCACATCACGTGCTGTCGTGTCCCGGACGATCGCAGATGACAGATGCCGATAAGAAATGGGGAAAGACCGAATGAGTCGTCATCCTTCCTCACTCCACTGGGAGGCACCTGCCCTGACTCATGTCACTTCCGTGTTACGTTCATGACACTGCAGCCAGACTTAAAAGTCCGAGTCCAACACCGGCCATAACCATCACCATCACCATCGTTTCGGACCTCAGTTGTACTTACAGATCCCTTTCATCCAGACAACGATAGACCTGCTCTGTGCCTTTTGACCTTTTCACACACGAGATGAAATCCCTTTTCAATTTCGCTCTTTCGCTCTTTCGCTCTGGGGCACTCGGCAAGTGCTGAGCGCACCACGCCTCTATGCAGACTCTCGTGTCGGAGAAATGCATAGCGCTTCGCTCTAGACAGACAAATACAATCTTATACCATATCACCTAATTACTCCGGAAGAAGATACGATGTCACCTTCTTGCGGGGTGGATCGCCCCAAGTCACTGCCAAAGTCCGGGGACATGCTTAACCCCGCCACTCGTTGCGTTGCCCATCAAGAAGCTGAAGCATTCAACCAGTGCATCCTCATTGGATGGCTTCCGCAAACCCACGGCTTGTACCGACTGAATCATCTACAAATGCCAGGCTTCTCCAAGAGATCTTCGGCCCTATTCCATCAGCCATCGAGCACACTCCTCGCCGTCTCTTGTCGCGACGCTTCAGATCATCATGATCATGCCGGACGATCAACGAGACGAGAACCCGAATCTTGCCCTCCTCGTCAGTGTAGCGGTAACAACTGGGAAAGAAGTATCGCCTTCAGCTGCCAACAAGCAGACTGCGAGATATGTCTCCTATAGATTGACCTGTGAAATTTCGACCCACGTCTCAACTCCTCCGGCCAGAGACCCCCAGATCAGATTCCAGCGGCGACCATTCTCAAACGGTGCAAAATGCGTCTATACGCGACCATATCAACTGCGGCCCTGATGCTGGCCTCAGTACCGACATCAACCGCCTCATTCTGTGGCGCTGTCAAGATCAGTCAGCTCAGCGTCGATGGCCGTACTGACGCGCCTCTCGGTCTCGGCAATCCTCGCCCTACTCTCGCATGGCAGATGATACAAACTCGAGACTGTCCCGAGTCTGATGACATATGCCCGGCCGACCGACGAACAGCCTACGAGATACAGGCGACCGCCACCGATGACGACCTACAGGCCGGCCACCTCATCTGGAAGAGTGGGAAGACTGAAGGCAACGAGCAAAATGTGCTGTTCGGCATCAACCTCACCTCCCGCGATACGGTCGCCTGGCGTGTCAAAGTCTGGGATGCTCTTGGGCAGCCCTCGGCCTGCTCGATCAGTCTGACTGGGACCGAGCCCGTTGGATCGACTATCCTGGCCGGAATAATAGCCAGCCACTGCCACTCTTTGTCCGCCCCTTCGACATTCCCAGCGGCAAAGTTGTCGCTGATGCCCGTCTGTACATCTCAGGAGTTTGCATGCACCACGCTACCGTCAATGGCGAGGATGCCACGGACGAGGTCCTGGCCCCTGGCTACTCCAACTACCAACTCTCCAGCGACTACCGCACCTACGATGTCATGAACGCTCTGAGGCCCAGCCCCAATGCTGTTGGCGTCAGCTTGGGCAACGGACCGGTTTACGTTCGTCGCAATGTTCGAAACCCGGCTGTTGGACGCAACGCCCCCTATTCTTGGTGGGAAAGCCAACTCATGGGCAACGGCACTCTTTCTGCCGATGTCACAACGGGAAGCAGCAATGTTCGATTGAGTTCTGTCGCTAGGTACAACATTGGCGGTTCAATCAATATTGATACAAGCGACGGTGGTAATCGGCTTGGAGTCGCGTGTCATCACGGCCATTGACACGATACCTTCATCATTCTTTCACTCCCGCGCTTGAGCAGTCGCACGA